CGCTCATGTTCCTGCACCAGTCCAACTCAACGACGACATCGAAGCGCTCGGTGTAACATGGCTGCTGTCGACCCGAGCTTCCCTGCTCTACCCATCGCATTCCTTTTATCCGCTGTACTGCTCCTTTTCGTGCTCTTGACCAGCTTCATGCAGCGAAGCTGGAATCTCGGGATAACGTTCCTGTGCTTCTGGCTTTTCGTCGACAACATCACCACTGCCATAAACATGATAATCTGGTCTGACAATGCCGATATCAAGTTATACGTGTATTGCGATATCGGTAAGCGTTACATTTGATGGATGGAGTACTTTGCTAAGAGATTTGAAGTAACTCACACGCAAGTAATCGCCTATGTTGTCAAACCCATGGCGACTCTCATAATCACCCGCCGGCTCTATATGGTTGCGAGCCTCCAGTCGACGGGCCAAGCCAGCGACGGAAAGGTAAGTTACATGTTATACCATTATCCTCATATTTGTATCACTCATCGGACGCCACGATAGGAAAGGAAAGCTCTTCTTATAGAATGGACTCTGGGTTTGGTCATTCCTTTGCTCGTTGCAGGTCCTTTATGTGAGGAAACCTGATGTCATGTAGCGGTCTGAGCTCATGGCTGACGCCTGAACTAGACTACGTAGAGCAGACCGCCCGTTTCCAAGTCGTCGAAGGATTCGGATGCGGGAATGCCCGAGACAGCGCGATCCTTGATATGTTGATCCTCCAATCATGGAACATCATCCCGCCTCTTCTATCCGTCATCATCTACTACCGTACGTCGCACACACCACACGAGCATATCTGCTACGATACTGACGCGCGAGCGCCGAGCAGCGAGAGTGGCGCGAGTGTTCTTTCTGCAGTATCGGGACAGCATTCGGCTCCTACGCGGCGAGGGCCCGGGCACACGCAAGAACCATCTCCGCATCCTCGCGCTCGCCAGCATCGACATACTGTTCACGTTACCGATCGGCATCGCGAGCCTCATGTTGAACGTAAAGGAGCTCCTTGACGTCGGCGTATTTCCTTTCTACCCCGGCTGGAGCGTCGTGCACAACTACTGGGAACCGCTCAGCGTGCCGTACTCGGAGTTGCAGGCCATCGGGAGTTATGCCATCGCTCTGCAATACATCACGTACTGGGCGTCTCCGACTTTAGCGTTTGCGATCTTCGGCCTTTTCGGGTTGACTGTGGAGGCTCGCACGTCGTATTCGCGCCTAGTCGAGATGATTGCCGGGCGGTTCCAGTGGAGGCGTAGCTCACGCGCTGTTATGCGCGGAGTTTCGTCCACAACTTCTATGGATCCCTCTGCGGATGTCGACGAGTCGTCGCATGAGACGTTGTCATTTGACGTCGAGATGGGGTATGTCCATGCTTTGGATCCTCGATGGTGGGTCCGGGTGAACTAATGTCATTGCGCCTGGACAGCTTTCCCGCGCGCGCCTCTCTCGTCGAGGGGGTGGCCGCTTTGGGCACGCACGGTGCCTACGCGTACCCAAAGTGAGAACCGGGTGTCAAATCACGGGGACCTTCGAGCGGGAGGGAAGACGAATGTGTCGCGTTGCATTGATCGTACATGCAACACGGTCTCTTGTTCATTACACAGAAAGGAGCACTTAGAGGGACTGGCGATCGATAAGAGCGCGCATATGTAACTGAGTATTGTCCATGGAACGGATGTCAATGACGGTCCGGCCAAACTCCGTTGGGTGACGGCGAGATCGTTGCTGTAGCGCACACCATGTGTCATAAGGTCGCTCGTGCAGAAGGACAGGAATAGAGAGATCGGAAACGCATACGCGCCCACGCCGAATGAGGATATCGCAACGGAATGCTGGAGGCTCGTCTGTATCTAAAGTTCTTTCAATAAGAGCCTCGATCATCCCGAAGTCGTTTACGCACCACGAAGGCGGCCAGTTTTCCAAAAAGTCAGAACTCTCGGTTGCTTTCCGGTCTCCGTATACCAATGCTTACACCATCGAGACACTTCGCGCTATATCGCCCTCGATTGACGAGAAAGACATCTCCAACACTGTTTCGTTATCAGGCGCCTTTTCGCCGGCGGACAGAGTAGCATCTGGTTTCTTGTCGTCCCGGATTTCAGAGAATGGGTGCAAAGAGGGCATCATCACAGCCTCGCGGTCTACCACTGTTGCAATGACTGGAACGGCGATCTCCATGGCGCTTGCCCTAGATGGTAGCTGAAAGCTGCGTTCGACGATGGAGCCATGGGCAGCGACGAGCATGATGACAAGCGTCGGGTACATGGCCTGCGTGTCGTGATCAGCATCCTAGCATACAGCCGGATAGGGCGAGTACTGACCGCTAGGGTCACCATATAGAAATCCGACCAATAGAAAGCGGTTTCATTCCAAGATGAGTTGTAGGCCCAGATGAGGTTGAACCAGATCTGAGATAGCGGCTTGATCAGACAGCCATCTCAACGAGGATGATCATCATGGTGCTTACCCAAAGAGCAGAGTACACCGCGCCGATCTCGACGATGAGGAGTAGCATGGGAACGAGACGGCGAGAGGCTGAGGCATTGATGAACTCCTTGATCTCCCGCCAGTGCGACCTGCGCATGGGTTAACTGGAACGATGACGTCAGTCCAGCAGTGAACTGGACGAACCAAGCTTTGTATCCGATCATCGCTGAAGAGAAGACCTGACAGATCGTAGTAGAGACGCCTACTGTCAGATATGAAGCCCGGTATACGTCTTGCTGGTGTGCACTCGATGCTGGAGTGGTCACTGAGGCGAGATAGACGACGCTGATAGAGAAGCCTGAAGAGAGAGACATCAGTCCAACGAGACTCCGGCAACGATTCTAAGCACCAACCGGTTTCAACAAGACCGGTGAAAACAAGCAAGGCCAGGAGCCACCTCGGCTTTTGGAAGACGACGTACACTCGCCAGAGTGTAATGACATCGGTCATCACATACTGTCGAAGTGGGGAAAGATGATGAGATGTAATGACCGACTTGTACGAAGAGGGTGGACGTACGATGGCCTGTGTAATGACGTTTTGTGCGGTTTGCGCATCGTTGAGCACATTGAGCAACACCTCCTCTTGAGCGCGATCTTTCGTGGGTGACAACTCCCAAGCCATGGTTGGGTACATATACTCGTTCAAGATGCGGACGTCAAGAGCCCATAAGACGACCGCCAATGCATACATCAGCACCGCGAAGAACAGCGTCAGTCTCGAAGATCTTGACTTGTGCGACCATCGTTGACAGACGAAGTAGACGAGTGCAACAGTGAAGATCGCTGAGTTGATGGTGGGTCAGGTTTTGTCCCTCGCGGCCGAATAACGACAAGATCATGCTCACTTGTCAAGATGGTCTCGAGAAGGAGAGGAAAGAGTCGCTGATCGGAGACGCGACGAGTAAGAGCGAGTGCTGTCTGAAGCCTTGCGTTGCAAGTAGTAGAATCCATAGTCCCAATGGCATCGTGGTATGCCACAGCACCATGAACTTATATAGGATCATCCTCGACTTGAAGGTTCCGACACGGCAAGTAGTACAGCGTACGGCGCAGTATGCTTTCCCCGTATGGCATATTTCGCGGCGTGAACGGCCGTAAGGCCACTTAGACCCTAGAATATCGACATGCAGATCATATTGGTTGAGTAACGAAAAGAGCCAACCGTTTGATGGATGTGCACCGTCCGTTCAGGGCGGCTCATCATAGCCAGCGCCCTAAGCGCATCTCGCCAGCGCGCAGCCCTAGAACGGCTGCGCGGAGGATCACCCTCTCTCACGCAAAACAACATCACCGATTCGTCCTGCTCATGATGGAATGTGCCGCGCGCGACGAGTTGTATACATCTATTCCTATAGGGCACTGGTGAGAAGGAGAACTACGTACCAGGAGGGATATAGTAAGTACTCACTCGATACTTCAGCTACACGAGTGACGCAGAATGGGCTTGGAACGCGGGGGTTTCACTGAGCACGGTATCAAAGTGGCCTTCTGATGACGATAATCGAGCCTGGTGATAGACGCTGTGAATGGCCCCAATGCACAATTTTTAGCGATATCGGTGTAAGCGAAGGCTCCTACATAACAGCCTTCGCCAAAGAGTCTGATCGATGATAGCGCCTGGCCCTGCAATGTGTGTTGCAATCGGGCCCTATCAAATTAATCGTAGTCCTGCGGCGTATCTGTGCTATACTGAAGCCGTACTCGCTCCATCTCTGGATTGGCGTTGGCTGAGCTAACGCCATTCAACTCGCGTATGTAGAGCGGTTGCAGCGCTCGGGGAACAGCCAGGATGAAGATGTGTTAGAGTAGGCGGCGCTGAAGGGGAGGGAGGGAGGATCTAGCCTCAGTTGTACTGGGAGGGTGAGATCAGTATGGCATCAGATACAACAGGCGCGTTTCGCACCTTCGACTACCTAAGCTGCTGGGGCCACTGCACTAGGCATCTGCTCCATTCCTCACACAATTGAGCCCGTGACACAGTGTTCCACAGTCCACGCCCACTGATATGTAAGTAGCCATATCAGGCAGTTCTGAGAACCCGAGGGTTTCGCACACCGCCGATACGCCGTCCGAGGCCGCGTTACAAAGCCGATCTTGAAGTGCGCTTGACCTCTAGCACTCGCTGCTTTTGTCTCGGCTATCGTCACCACACGAGTAATATGAGTATGTGGCAGTACATCATGAAGAGCATGCGGTAGCAGCCCCGCCGAAGGCGGACGTCCTAGGTGATCGGAGCAAGTTGAGGCTCCAGGTGGCCGTATCTGGCCGTATACTTCCACGCGCTCACGTGCACGGCCCGCTCTGCCGTTGCTCGTCATCAGTATCGGCGCCGCTCTCAACGGTTCCCAATGTCCTTGACCACGTCCATGTAGACTTTGCCCTCGACTGGCATTCATGGCTATTTATCCTTATACTGGCAATGGGCCAAAGGATTCCGATGAAACCGCGCGGCGCGGCCGGGAACGCGACTTGTTCCCGACCGTCATCCTGTCATCCCCAGCAAATCATTCTTTTTGACCTCCGCACCTGCTCCCCGTTGAGCAATGAAGTCACTACTTACTGAACAATGCTATCGCGCTCAATAATGGCCAGCGTATTGCGAACGCGGTAGACGGTGTGCCCTAAACTCCGTCGGAGCTACCAGTATCACGATCAGCAACCTTTCCCATAGCTGTGATGGAGCTCTAGGCCAACCCTCGGCTTCTTTCCTGTCACCGTTAGATGAATATGATCCTCTATTCCGCTTTCGGTGTTCAACTTACGCCCATAGCCATCTTCAAGGGCATCTGAACATCGTTCGAGTGAAGTCTATACCGGCCTCCAGCGAGGCAGTACTCCGGGCGCTGTGGCAACTGACCCCGTGGTACGAAGGCATCATCTACATCTCAGACGTGTCTCGAAGGTGAAAAAGATCCATGGCAAACGATACATGTTGACCACAGAAGATTTCGAGAGGACATGCAGTACGCAAGCTATCCGAAGGTATTGTAACCTCGTCTTTATCTGCCCTCGTTGAGACCACACCAGCCGTGTGGCAATAGATGAACCTCACTGGTACTCAGGCCCAACGGCAATTATGTAAGAGAACGCGGGGTGTGCGTCCACCGAGATCAGCTTACATTGAACTTACAGCCTTGTCGTCCTCGGAAGCGATACGCGGGATGGAAGAAGCAGCTTAAGTGGGTTCGAAACGTTCACTTGCTCATCACTCAACATCATCTGATCACTCTGAACGGTGTAGTTCCAAAGATCTGCAGACATCGATGATATCAAGTCTTCGGTAGTTCTCCCTTGTGTACGATAGCTCGGGCGCCACTAGCACTTGCCAGTCGATGCTCACTCAACTTCTTCGTTGCGCTGTCCGAGCAACTAGCTTCTATGTATCAAGTGCTTGTACAGTGAGCCTCAGGTCGCCACCGTCGGAAACGGTGAGTACGATTGAGCATCATTTCATTCATCGAACATTGACGATCTGGGCCAAGGTTCATGTTTCATCGATCATCCGAGAACACAAGTTCGTCCACGTCAAGCCCTTCCTGTCACAGACGGACCCTAGTTGTTTCAGCGCAGCCGTGGCTCCACCGCGGGAGAAGCAACGCGTCTTCTTTGCGCCTTCTGAGTTCTATGACAGAACAGCGCCCGAAGACGAAAGGCGTGCTTGGGCTCGGGACGGGTGGCACAGTTCGATCCGATGGAGATTGAAGTATATTAAACCCAAGAGGTCGAAGAGACGCTCACGCTACCTCTGCCAGCATGGGTACAATCGACCCTACATACCCTCTCTATCCGATAGCGTGCTTCTTGGCTTGTACTGGCGTCCTTCTCGTATTAATGAGCAACTTCCATCGTCAAAATTGGAACCTCAGTGTCGCTTTTCTCTGCTTTTGGCTATTGGTCGGGACACTCATCGACGCGGTGAATGCTATCATCTGGTCGGACAATCGCGAGATCAGACTCTATGTTTATTGTGACATCGGTCAGCAGATCCAGCTGCTCGTCGGATGAGTCGCCTACTGACAAAGAGGATAGTCTCTCATGTTCGGATGATAGTATTCGTCGTCAGACCGATGGCCACACTCCTCATTCTACGCCGGCTTTACATGATAGCCAGTCTACAGTCAGTAGAGCTGCCGACTCGTGCCATGGTGTGCTATGCCCTCCGCCTCTACAAGACACTCCCTGACTAAGTTCTGGCAGTATGTTCGAAACCTCATCGTAGAATGGACGCTGGGTCTACTCCTCCCACTTATCGTGGCCGGACCTATATGTGTGACCCACATGCGCAGATCGGATACCACTGTACACGACGCTGACCATGCACTTAGACTACATCAATCAACTCGCCCGGTTCCAAGTCCTGGAAGGATTCGGTTGCGCTGACTCTTTCGGTGACACTATAGTCTCGATCCTAACCCTTCAAACCTGGGGTATCATTCCACCTCTGCTATCTGTCGCATTCTATTACCGTAAGCTCGCATCTTGAGGGGTAATTTGTGGCTACGTCTGACCAGGTATCATCTGTAGCAAGGGTGCTGCGAACGTTTTGGCGACGACGCAAAGACGGCGCCCGATTTCATCGGAGTGTCGGGTCGGTCTCCCGAGAGCACTATCTTCGTGTCCTTGCTCTGGCGAGTATCGACCTTCTCATCACATTACCCATGGGTATCACGAACCTGGTGATATCTATCACTCTAGGTATAGAAGGAGGTGGCACCATTCCGTGGTATTATGGATGGGCTGAGACGCACAGCGGAACGGGAGAGCCGGCCAGCATACCATATGCAGACCTAAAGGCAGTCGGACCCTCACAACTTGCTTCAACATACTTCGAACAATGGTCGAGTCCCATCCTCGCATTCGCTGTGTTCGGCCTTTTCGGTCTTACATCACAAACTCGCGCGTCGTACCGAGACATCATCTACACCGTCGGCGGCTGGTTCGGCTGGAAGTCTACGCCGCGAGAGGGACATCGTGAGTCGCAGATGTCCGCCATGGAGTTCCGAGGACAACCGGAAGTGTCCCATAGCGTGCAGCGCGATGTAGACATAGGGTGAGCCGGCCCTTGGTAACTGGTAGACGCCATCCTGATACAGCAATACAGCACAAGGACAAGCCTCATCAGCTGCAACGGAACCTCCATGACTTATAGTGGAGCGGAGGAGAAGGGGAGAGCAGGTGAAAGTGGCATCTGCGATGCAGAGAAGTACATGAAGCACGAGAGCTTAGAGCGGCAGGACAAGCCGGGAAGTTCCCCTGCCGATATGTCTGATGCGAGCGCCGACGAAGGGTGCGTGATTCTTACCGCCCACGACTGTGAAGCTCACGCCAACCGTCGCAGATGCGGAAGTCCACCAAACCTCGCAAAAGGCAAACATGATCCCACACGCACTTGACTCGCCCAGTCATGACATCGCGGAGCATCACATTCCGATGTGCCCGTCTGGTAGATTGGTATTCTACAAACTGTAGTAACCTATCGCTAGTTCATTGTCCTTCTTCTGTATACGCTTTGCGGTCTCGGTACATCCACCCTTCAACTGGCACACCACCGGTACTACTCCGCGCCAACTGCCGCGGTCCAAAAGATTGGGCGACAAAGGTGTCACACATCGGGCAACTGCGCGGGTGTTGGACGGTTACGTCACGCGTCGTTTATCGTGACGCCTCGCGTTCCGTTCGAACTCCGAACGCATCAGCAACTTGCAAGCCTCTCCCATAGTGTTCTTGCAACTGACCACCAACACCGGCACTTCCCTCTCCATCCGCTATCTTTGCGATTCGATGATTTTCCTGATGGCGCTCGAAA